GTATATGTATGAGTATATATGCGTGCACATCTGCTCACAGACTCATGTTTATGTTTGTGCTGATGTTCAATGTTTTATGATATGAGTGCTTAGTGTATATTTAGTTGATGTTTTTCTTAGTTCATATCTTAGATGTTATTACTGTTTTTCTTATACATTTTATTGTTGGATGTAACTGGGACCCCGTGTACATAATTTCGCTCCACCACATGTACCACATGAGGTGCGAATGACAATAAAGAAACTCTGACTCTGACTCTGACTCTGATATAATAATAATATAATAATAATAATCATTTTATTTAAAAAGCGCCTTTCAGGACACCCAAGGACACTTTACAGGAAGAAACATATCAGAAAGATTGTGTAAAAACAAACAACAAACACAGTGTAAAGATCAACAGGAATAAATTGAAATATAAAATACATAAAGAATATAAAATACATACAGAATATAAAATACATAAAGAATATAAAATACATACAGCAAAGTTAAGGATAAGCGAGTCTAAAGAGATGTGTTTTCAGAGCAGTCTTGAATATAGAAAGAGAGGTGGTGTTTCGTAAGTCAGGGGGTAGAGAGTTCCAGAGATGAGGGGCAGAGCAGGTGAAGGCCCTGCTCCCCATGGTGGAGAGGCGGGCAGAGGGTACATGGAGGTGTAGTGAAGAGGAGGATCTGAGAGAGCGAGAGGGGATGGAGATGTGTAGGAGGTCAGATAGGTACGGAGGGGCAAGGTTGTGAATAGCTTTGAAAGTGAGAAGAAGAATTTTGAAGACGATGCGTGATTTAATGCTTTTGTTATTATTCCTATTTAACACAAGGTCATCAGATCTGATTTAGTATTTCATTGTTTCTGACTGAGTTTATCCTTTTTGTTATTATTTCCTTGACTTTTGACACGTGATCTGATTTAGTATTTCATTGTTTCTAATTATGTTTTCGGTTTTATATTTTTATTCCATGTGCTGCAAATATATCTTGCTACTTTTTATTTGATGATGTGATATTTTTGTTAAGCACTTTGGTAACAGTTTCTGTTTTAAATGTGCTCTATAAATAAATCTGACTTGACTTGACTTAACCGAGAGCCAGTGGAGCTGCTGCAGGACAGGAGTGATGTGGTTATAGGAGGAGGTTTGAGTTATGACATGGGCAGCTGAGTTCTGGACCAATTGCAGCTTCTGGAGAGATTTGTTGGGGAGGCCATAAAGAAGGGAGTTGCAGTAGTCAATCCGAGAAGTCACAAGACTGTGCACAAGGATGGCTGTGGAGAGGGGTGTGAGAGAAGGGTGGAAACGGTTTAGTGTTTAGTTGTAGGAAACTGTTAGAAAACCAATGATTTAGCTCAATGAGACAGTTGGTGAGGATGGAGGGTGGGTGGAGTTTGGGTTTGTTGACAAGTAAGAGCTGTGTGTCATCAGCATAACAGTGAAAACGGACACCAAATTTATGGAAGATGTGACCTAGAGGAAGGAGATAAATGATGAAGAGGAGGGGTCCGAGGACAGAGCCTTGGGGGACACCTGGGGAGACGGGGGAAGACTGGGAACGATAGGATTTAAGCTGAATGAATTGAGTGTGGTCAGAGAGATAAGATGTGAACCAGCCTAACGGAGTACCTGAGATGCCAATGGAGGTTAGTCTGTTGAGGAGGATAGAATGACAGATTGTGTCGAAGGCAGAACTTAGATCCAGTAGAATGAGGATAGACAGAAGACCAGAGTCAGCAACAAGAAGGTCATTGGTTATTTTTATTAGAGCTGTTTCGGTGCTATGGTGGGGGCGAAAACCAGATTGGAACTCTTCATAAATGTTATTGTTGGATAGGTGAGAGTGAAGATGACCTGGTTTCTTGATGATGGGGGTAATGGCAGCAGATTTGAAAAGCTGTGGGAACAATGCCAGAGGTTAGGGAGGAGTGGATGATGTTAGTGATGATGGGGAGCAGAGACGGGAGACAGGATTTAACAAGAACTGTGGGAAATGGATCAAGTTGACAGGATGAGGACTTGGACTTGCTGATAATGTCAGCAATGTCATCAGCAGAGGGGAGGGAGAAGACAGAGAAGGGAAGGGAGGTAAGGAGGAGTTCAACATAGATGCTGGGGGCAATATTAGGTCCAAGGTGTTTATGAATTGAAATAATCTTTTCATTGAAATAAGACATCAGAGAGTTGCAAAATTCTGTGGAAACCATGCGAGAGGGTAATGAGTTAGGAGACGAGACTGAACGGTTAAGGAGAGAGAACAAAGTCTTTGAATTGCCAACAATGGAACTGATGATGTCAGAGAAGTAGCTGGATTTGGCTTGAGAAATACTGTCCTTATACTGGATGACGTGGTTCGCAGAGAGTTCCTTGTGAATAGACCATAGATAATACAAGGAAATGTGAAATGGACTGAATTTCATAAAGCACCATTCTACAAAGTGTTTTAAGTTAATTCCTGTCATTCACGCACACACTACTATATTTGGAAAGCAAGCAGGCAGGAAAGACAGCATTTGTAACTTTTAACGTAATTTCCTGATGCATGCTCAATAATCCAGGTAGAAAAATCCAAAAAAGTTCAATCTGGTCCTCTGGACATTCAAAAAAACTTTTGGCTTTCTTGGACTGAGGTCTCAGTCTCTGATAGAGGACATTTGCTAACCGAGGTGTACCGCAAACCCACCCACCCACACAGACCAGTATTTGCAGTTTGACTCCCATCACCCTTTGGAGCACAAGTTAGGAGTCATCAGGACTCTGTATCACAGAGCAGACAGCGTCCCCACTAGCTCGGGAGCCAGGCAGAAGGAGAAATCCCACACAAAACAGGCTCTAGAGCAATGTGGATATCCTAACTGGGCCTTCCTGAAAGCAGAGAAGAAACCCAAACAGGACTCTAGTCAGCCATCAGGTGAAAAGGAGGAACCCAGACCCAGACCAGTGGTCATTCCGTATGTTGAGGGGGTATCAGAGAAACTGAGACGTTTATTTTCAAACCATAACGTCCCAGTGGCTTTTAAACCCCAAAATACATTACGGCAAAAACTGGTTCATCCCAAAGATCCAGTCCCCCGGCACAAACAGAGTAATGTTGTGTATGCTGTTCAGTGTCAGGAGGGCTGTGATCAGTCTTACTTCGGGGAAACTAAACAGCCACTGGCCAAAAGGATGGCCCAGCACAGAAGATCAACATCATCAGGCCAGGATTCTGCGGTCTACACTCATCTCCAGGCCAGCGGTCACTCTTTCAAGGATGAAGATGTTCACATCCTGGACAGAGAGGAACGATGGTTTGAGAGAGGAGTAAAGGAGGCCATCTTTGTGAAAAGAAATCGTCCATTGTTAAACAGGGGTGGAGGCCTCCGGGTTCAACTGTCCCCCTCTTACAATGCTGTGATTGCTAGTATCACTCAGCCCTCTGTGAGTAGTAAACAGCCATCAGTGTGCTAATGATCCATTGTTAGGCTGATGGTCCTTCTTGAGCATGTGATCAGCTGGTTTTGGTTGTCAGCAGCAAACTGGTTGATCCACCCTGAGAAGGTGCTATTTAAGAGACTGAGCTGAAAACAGCACCTCAGACTGAGGAAATCTCTTGGATGAGAGACGAAACGTTTCTAGATTTTTTTGCTTTGTTTTGTTTTTTGTTTTTTTGAATGTCCAAAGGACCAGATTGAACTTTTTTGGATTTTAACGTAATTATTAAAAATGTTTACTCTTTAAATGTTTAGGTTATAGGTAAGCACTAAACCACCAATGTATGTATTCTTTTCAGTGTTTACAAGTACTAACGTGTGTAACACTATTACTGTGGTGATGCATATAGAAATATTCATATTTAACATTTAATCTGTCATGCTGTCTTAAATTTAGACTAAAAGGACAAATTGACCTAATTTCCTTAAATTAATTGTTAAAATGTAATAGTTTTCATTTGATACTATTTCTGTCTTAACATGTGATTTTTGGCCTGTCATTGTGTATCTGTTCCTACCAAACCCTGCCGGTCGAAGCAGATGGCCGCTTGTCCTGAGCCTTCTGCTAAAGGTTTATTTCTCATGAGTGAGTTTTTCCTTTCCACTGTCGCCTTCATGCTTGCTCAAGATGAGAGTTCTGTGATGAAGTAAAATTCAAAGCAGTCTGCTCCTCAGATAAATTATGTTAAATTATTATTTTTAAATATGAATGTTTCTGTTAACTTATTTATATATGAATATTTCTGTTCAGTGCCCTGAGATGACTTCTGTTGTGACTTGGCGCTATTGAATTAAATTGAAAATCTGTGTCTATAATTACCATATATATATATATATATATATATATATATATATATATATATATATAATTCACCTCATTTTCTTCCTGAATGAGCTGTTCTGATGGTTGAATGGTTGAAAAAAGCATAAAGTCTGCAGAAATAATTAGATTACGAAAAACAGGTAAAAAGAAAAAAAAAAAAACACAGATCCCAGTGATTTTTGTCTTTATTCTAATGACCAAAGACCTAACGGTTTGTTCTTGATTAATCCCAGTGAAGTGAGTCCACAATTGATAACTTAGCAGTAAACAGTTGAGATGTCAGCTCTTAGAACCTCCTTGGTTCTGCAGACATCGGTCCATCCTCATCTGTCAGAGATGATATTCTTCATGAGAAATCCTTCAGTCCAGTCACTGCAAATCAATGAGAACCTGGTTAGTTACATGTGTATAACAAACACTTTGTGACTCTGGGAGCCATTTAGAGGAACAAACAGAACCCGACCCAACCCAGACTAGACAGGAAGGGCAAATGAGGACAAGAGGACTCAAGAGACAAGATCACAGTGAGGACACGACCAAGGGAAGGAGACAAGGTCACACAACACCCTGCTGGTTAAAACGATGACGATGGCTGAGTTTATGCCTCAGCAGCACACACACTCAGCCTTCCTCCATCAGGCACTGCAGAGGAGACAGACGAATCAGCTCTTCCTGGTCCACTCCTCCTCCTCCTCCCTATTTCTCTCAGAGCCATGATGTTCTGCAGTGCTGCTCGCTGAAGGAGGCTGCCAGCTGCTGTTTACCTCCAGAACCAGAGCAGGAAAGAGCTGCGTCATTCAGCCTCGACTGGAGGTAAGACTCCACGGAGAGGTTCTTTAAAAAAGGCTTCAAGAGTGAATGTGAGAACCAGAAACAGGTATAAAAGATGTGGGATCTGCTGGAACAGCTGGCTGGAAAGCCTTAACTGATGAGACAATTGAGAGAAAGGAAAACGTGTAGTGAGGTTTAAAACATGAGATTATTGTTCTAAATGTATGCTTTTAGCTACAGTTTGTTAAAAGTTCAGAATAGAGAGCACAATTATATATTTTCTAAGAATATAGTTGTTCCTTATCAGTTTAGTTTGTTCATGCTGTCAGAAAAACATGTTTTGTCTCTTTTTGTGACTTTTTCAGCCGTTTTGTTCGCCTCTGTTATAAAATGACCACTCCCAAAACGACCTCAGGGTTGGATGGAGAATAGATTCCTCATCTTTGTGTGACATTGCTCTCACTCAGTTTGATTTGATTTCCTCATTAGTTTTTTTTTTTTCTTTCCGCAGTTGGATGTGCACTCCTCCATCATGCTCAGCTCTCTGTTTGTCTGTGGAGTTCTAGGAGGTGAGACAACAGTTCTGGAGACTTCCGTTGAGATATAAATGCTATTTGAAGTCTTTTTCTTCACATGTGCGTATTAAATTACTGTGTTTGTGTTTGAGCAGTGCTGCTGGTCCTGGTCCCGGCTCAGTCCGAGCGGATCTCCGTCTGCACTGAGGATGACAACGACCTGAGAGTGGACTGTCGGATCGAGCCCAAGCCCAACAAAATCACCAGCTACGAGTTTTCCTGGTCATCAGGAACCAAGGAGGCCATCATTAACACGAATGTGTCCGGTTCAGCTGCACAGGCGCAGTTCAGAGACAAGAGTCAGGTGGTGGAGCTGGACCCTCACGGCTACAGAATGAGCCTGACGGGCTTCACGGACCAGCTCCCACACAACACCACCTACATGTGCAAAATATCTGGGCAGATTGAAAGTGTCACTGTGGAGAGAGGTGGGTGGGGAGTGAGCTGGGGGAGGGGGGATGAGTTCATAAGAGACAAATTCAGGAGGATTTAGGGTGTTTGTTTCACCATTTTCCTTCCTCTCTGCAGATCGACTCCTACCATGTTCGGCTGTGAGCTTGTTTCTGAAGAACTCCTGGTCCTGGATCGCTTGTCTGCTTCTCTGCCACACACACAGCTGAGCACACCTGTGCACACCTGTCGTCATACGCAAACATCTACAAAAAGCTTTCAGTTTATCTGCCATTATTATGTTCTCTAACAGTATTAAATAACTAATAATTGAAGGGAAGAAAAGTGTAAAAGGCTTTTTGCTTTGCAGCTGCACATGATCGACGTGGTTTCATGTAAAAGGGAAACACTTAAACACTGTGTTTGGACAATGGTTTTCAATAAAGGGATGCTTTCAAAACTCAGCTGATGCTTTTCTGTTTTTTTAGTGAACAGAAAAAGAACTGTGATCCAGATCCACATATTGGTTGATTTGAGAAATCAAAGGTTTAATACTCAAAGACCGGCTTTACTCTGAGAAACTGACGCCTATTGCTCAACACTTTAATGTCCACAGCATCTAATAAAAGGGAATGCACCAACTCAGAAGACTTGATTTTAATTTTTTTTAATGTCCAGCCAATGAAATGAACAAACTTGAGTTTTGTTGGTCGTCTGGATCTGGGTGGGCTCTAATCGCCAATAAATACAAAAATATTCATAACTCAGGCAATATGGGGCCATAAATCAGTGTTATGTCCACCGAAGAGTGGCGTCCAAACAGACATTGCTTAAAGAAAATAAATGCGTCTAACTTTTTGGACTTTGTCAAACGACACATTAGAGAGTCCTCAAATATGTGGAAGAATATGCTGTGGTCAGATGAGACTAAAATTGGACTCTTTGGGCATCAAGGATGTCATGTGTTGTCACAAACCCAACACCTCTTGTTAACAACATTGAAGCATGATAGTGGCAGCATCATGCTGTGGGGATGCTTTTCATCAGCAGGGACTGGAAAACTGGTCAGAGTTTAGAAAAAAAAATGGATTACACAAATTAAAGAGATTATTGGATGGAACAGAAGATCAGCTTCCAGCAGGACAGTGACCCCCAAACACAGCTGAAGCAGCACAGCAGGAGTTTAAGGAGAAACAGTTAAATGTTCTGGAGTGGCCTGGTCAAAGCCCAGACCTCAGTTCAGTTGAGAATCTCTAATAGGATTAAAGACTGCTGAACACAAAGCATCGTACTTGAAGGACCTGGTGCAGTTTTATCACGAAGAACAGACGAAACCTCCAGCAGCACTACGCTACACAAAATGGCTTCCAAACACACTCAACCAGCAAATATTTGATACAAACCTCTGAACTGAAATCTTCTTCTTTCGGCTGCTCCTTTCTTCAGGGGTAGCCACAGCGAACTAACTTGCTCGAAGACTTGGCAGTTTTTACACCAGATGCCCTTCCTGACTCAACCACGGACCACCGAGCTACCACAGCCGTCTGCGTGGAGCAGAGAGCTGCCATAGAGCGCCAGGGGAGCAGATGGTGGGGGTTAAGGATCAAGGGCCCAGAGTGGGGCAAATGAGGGTGGAGGCAGGTGTGGGTGTTTCATCTTTTCCACTCACATTTTTGATGTTGTTGATCTGGGGAGTCAAACCAGCAACCGATCTGCTCGCTTTCCCAAGCTGAGCTCTGAATGCATTAGTTTGTGAAAACTCCTGAAAAGACAGTGGCCTATGAAATTTAGTTCAACTTGGGATATTTTTAAAATTTAAAATGACTCATGTAAGTGATGGAGTAAGATCTTTATGGCTACAGAATAACCCTTCAAGATAAAAATAACAAACCACCACATCATTGCTGATATAATGCTGAAGAGAAAATTACACCTGTGTAATGCACCTGTATGCAATATTTGGCTAAATGTCTGAATAAGATAAATATTAAGAAACATGATTTAATCCATACATATATGTTTAGCAAAAACAGATAAGCACATCAGACTCCAGCTAGTTTAAAAGAACTGGAAAATATAATAAAAGTATCCGTAACTCAGTTCAGAAGATACAGGCGCAGCTAGAAGTGCTGAAGAGTGGCGGGGGTGAACTTATAAATGTTAGGTAGAAAGAAATCTGAAACAGGCAGGATTTGTTATGTCAGTCATGTTTTGTTTTTGTTAATATTTAAAGCTTGACGAGATACGTGTATGAGAAGGTTGAGTATGCACGCGCCGCCTTTACTCGACGTATTATGGAAATGCGCCGGTGATTAAACTGAGCAGACCCTGTAGCTGAAGTCCTCGGGGTTCTTGATCCTCGGCGGCGCCCGTAGTTTCTGACAATATCCAATATGGCAGCCTCTACTAACAGCAGTAAAGTAGCTGAGCTTTCTAAGGCTGAGTACCTTAAACGTTATTTATCAGCTGACGAAGATCTCAGTAAATCAAAAGGAAAGATAAAAAAGAAACGACGTAAAGTTCCGGAGAGAGGGTGAGGGGATGAGATAGTCTTCATTAGTGAACTAGCTTAAAGCTAGCTAACACCGACCGTGTCTGTTGTCGCTAGTGTTTGGCAATCATGTTGAATAATTTTACACTTTATCATTTTTTTAACTTAAGGTTAAAAATAGTAGACGATGATATAGACTGGAGGCAGATGGTCAAAGAGCCAACGGAGGTTGTTGAAGAGGATGAAGAAGAAGAAGCTCCAGTGGTAAGCAGCTAGCTTGGTTAACGTTAGCTTTCAGATTAGCCTGAATTCATTCAGTTACTCCCACTGCTAACCGCGATAAACGAAATAAAACATGCAGTTTACTTCAATGGTATGTAGGCATGATTTTAAGATGAACTTATCCTTTAAAATAATGTGGTAGATGACTAATTTGTAAGAAAGTATGAGATGAATATGAGAAAATAAAACTCAATTTCAAAAAAATTCAAGACAAAATCAACTGGACTTCATTTGTAACAGAAGACAAATACCACGTATTTGTATATTAAATAGAAGCGTTTGTATATTAAAAAGTAATTAGGACTGTAACCTGTTTGTGTAAATGGACTGTATATATAGCGCCTTTGTATCTAATCAAGATACTCAAAGCACTTTACAACACAATCTGTGCCCTCATTTATCTCCACACACACATTCATACAGCACTCTACTAGATCTCTACAAAGTTAATTGAACAAATTAGTCTATAGAGATTAATCAGTGCTTTAGACCACATTCATACTCCGATGGGACACGCATCGAAGGCAATGAGGTGTGTTTGTTCATTGTCTTGCACAGGGACACTTCAACATGTGACTGCTGGTGGAATTGAACCCTCAACTCTCCTACTGGAGGACGACTGCTCTAACCACTTAGCCACAGCTGCTTACAGCTTAGTGCACCATGTAATAAAAGTCTGAATGTTGTTAAACCGTGAGTGATATTTTACAAGCATTTAGGTCGTTTTCACACTAGATAGTCCGGTAGACTCGGTTCGGTTCGGGACCAATATTCATGAGCTTTTGTTTACATTTGAGCTGGTGAGTTTGCATTCACACTGCACTGTGCAGTCGAGTCAACCTGTTGAACCAACCTATTTCCCCGCTCGCCTGTGGTGGCGTTGCACCAAGAACTACTGAAAGAAACACAAAAACCTCTGAAGACCCGTCTTCTTCTTCTTCTGTAAACAAAAACGAAGTGGCATCAAGTTTTAGGAGTTATATTTTGTCATTTTTCAAAAATGGACTTAGCATGAGCAGAAGATGAGACAGAAGACCATGGAGAATATTGTTTTTTCACACAAGGCAGCTGACGGCTCCATATAAGGTCAGAGAAATGCGTGTTTGTTTATCCTGCGGAGCGGGTACGGTCTGTTTACATTCACACTGCACTCGAACCGCACTGGAGTTCGCTTCTACCGGACCGAGACCTAGGTTTTAGCCCGGGCCAGAGTTCGCCTTTTTGTTCCGTGACAGAGTTCGATGTTGCGTTCACACCTCCCTAAACGAGCCGGACTTTTTAGGAAAACGAGCTAGAGTTCGATTAAAGCGGACTAAACAGGGCTAGTGTGAATGCACCCTTAGTGATCACCTACAGTCAAAAGCACAAAGAATTTCTTCACAAAAAATACGTCATTGAATATTAACAGAACATAGGCTTGATTTAGCAACCTGAAAAGCAAACATTTTTTCATTTGTGTGCCATGTTAAATAGCTACCTAAAATTTAGTCTGTTTCTCTTTTCCTGCCAAAACAGTTCCTAATTATACTTATAAAAAGTAGTTTGGTTTTGTATCAGGTAAGTTGTCTTGTTGCTGCTATCAGGGAAATAATTTGTTCTCAGTGTGCATTAATGTTCTAATAGTGGTATCTGTGAAATTTGCATGAAACCAGTATGTTGCACTGAAACAAGAGGATTGTTTTAATCAGTTGTAATGTTGGGACTGTTTAAACTAATCCTCTCAGAAAAAATGCAGATTGATATCAACTCTAAATGGGGTTTGCCAAACTGCCTTAACCACAGTAAAATAACTACATTATAATAATAAATAATGTGTTTTTGAAGTCATAATTTTACATTTAGAATAAATATAGAAGGTCAAAATCACTTTCTTTTCTTTTAAAAATTTGTATATTTACTTAGATCGCTGAGTTCATTGATGAGCGACCAGAGGAGGTGAAACAGATGGAAGTCTTTAGAGCTGGCAACAAATGGAAAGTAATTGGAGGTAAGTGCAAAAGTACTCAACTGGATTTGTTCTTGTGGTAAACAAGATCATTGTTCAGTGTTTTCTGTTCCTTAGCTGATGAGGATGAGGAGGAGAGAGAACTTGCAGATCTTGTGGCATCAAGCACATATCCACATAACTCACCAAAGGAGTCATCAAAGGGAAGGAAGCAGGAGTCTCCTGTCAGAAAAACAAGACATGACTCTCCAGACATGTCACCTCCCAGAAAAAGTCGCCACGATTCTCCAGATTTGTCACCTTCAAGAGAATTTTCAAGAAAGCCAGAAAAGGTGCAGAGAAAAGGTGAGCAGTAGAAGATTTTAGGTGAAATCTTGTCTGTTACTTTGTTGCACATGGAAATGAAACGGGTGTAGATTTCATCAGATGTATTACAAAGCTTTGGAGAACAGCCAACAACTTACAGAAGATGAATGCATTTACAAGTCCACATTTATCAATGTCTTCACCTGTCTGAGGTTCTGACCCGTTATACTGTTGATCTGTTATCAAAGCAGCTGCACACAGAAAACGTTGAGTTGTGGAAGGCATAAACACCTCAAGAACTGGGAACATGTCACTGTGTCTACCAGTGTTTACCCTAGATTACTTGCCTTGGCAGGGTGCTCATCTTTTTTGGTGTGTGTGTGTGTGGGGGGGGGGGGGGGGGGGGGGG